AGCATGGGGCAAGAACTCAGTGCACACACCTAAAACTTTTGGATTCATTCCCAGAACCAAGACACGAGCCTTTTGAATACAATTTATCCGTCTCTGTCTAGTCTGTTTTGACTAGTCTTTAGCATAACCATTTAAGAATTTTTTTAATCGACACAGGAAAAAGAGGCTCAAAGATCACCAGGGTGTATGTGGGAAAATATAACAGGCTTGGATCACTTCCACAGGATTATTCTACTCTGCCACACCACTGAAGAAACAATCTCAGTCAAGGCTGGCATAGTCAAGATCTACAGGGAATTAGGTCAACATCATTCAAGGTATGTGACACTTTAACTTTAAATTGGATGTTGACAGTCAGGTGCATAGATTGATGAGTGATTCCATGAAGTCACCAACATTATCATTTTGTGGTGGAAGGGAAAATGTAAGAAAAAAGGAGAAAGGTAAGAAAGTTTCAAATCAAATAAATATGGTTTTGTTAATCTGTGATGCCTTCAAACAACAGTGAAGTTCATTTCAGGATGCAGGAAATTTGTAAAACAAACAGTTCTTCCTAACTCAAGAATTTTTAAAATACATTTTCTAATTATGCTAACTTGGCACAGGATTATTATAGGCAATGCTAATATAGAGCGATATAAAACTCTCTACTGAATATGACTGGGATAAAGAAAGGAAGAGTTCTTCTTTTTTTTTTCAAGTTTATGGACCAAATACAGACCTGATGTAAGAGAATGGTGATATACAGTAAAACTCCATTAGTCCAGCATCCAATGCTCCAGGACTCTTGATGGTCCAGCACCATCAGGAACCCGGAAGTGCTTGGGCAGCCAGACAGGCTTCCCCCATTCAGCTGCTGCTGAAACTGACCAGCAGACTATCGTAAGGGGGGGCTATGAGGGGTCTGGGGTGGCATCCCCTCCCACCCTACTCCAGACCCCTCATAGCTCCCCCTTCTGATAGTCTGGCATATTTGATAATCCGGCACCCCCTGGGTCCTAAAGGTGCCGGATTATCGGAAGTTTACTGTACCTATTATCCGCTATCTAAATGCTTCAGAAATAGGTAGAGGGGATTTGTTGGCTTAATGCACTAGCTTGCCAGTGTGAGCTCACATTTTAGATTGTCAACAGTGCCCCTTTAACTGTGGTTCTCCAGTAACTAACCAAGTCAGACAGTGAGGCTGTGTCTACGCTAGCAGCTTCTTGTGCAAGAACTCTTTTTTGGAAGAGTTCTTGTGCAAAAACTCTTCCAGAAGAGAGCGTCTACACTGACATGTGCTTTTGTGCAAGAGATGTGCTTTTGCGCAAGAGCATCCATGCCAGTGTAGACGCTCTCTTGCGCAAGAAAGCTCTGATGGCCATTTTAACCATTTTAAGGGCTTTCTTGCACAAGAAATTCATGTTGCCTGTCTTCCTGAGCAGTAGAACGTCAGTTTACTTGCGCAAGAACACATGGCCAGTGTAGACAGGCAGCAAGTTTTTGCGCAAGAGTGGCCGCTTTGGCGCAAGATCACGCCAGTGTAGACACCTGAATCAGGGACGCCTGGGGCAGAGCCGGACTATCGTAAGGGGGGGCTATGAGGGGTCTGGGGTGGCATCCCCTCCCACCCTACTCCAGACCCCTCATAGCTCCCCCTTCTGATAGTCTGGCATATTTGATAATCCGGCACCCCCTGGGTCCTAAAGGTGCCGGATTATATGAAGTTTACTGTACTAGTATAGTGGGTGTGAAATCTGGCTCACCTTGTGCTTGCCAGACATCTTCATTACAATATTCCCTAAAATGTGCTTTTAAATAAAATGAACTTATCTTAGGAATCTGTAATTAGTACCATCTTACAGAACTAATCAGAACAAGTCTATTGAAGCACTCCCAACTATTTACAATGAGAGTGAATTTAGCCCCAGGGTTAACTTTACTATTTTGTCTCAATTTTCTTGTAATTTCATCCATCACTTTATTCCAGTCTTCCAAAGGTGATGGATAAAACACAGAAATAAATAGGACCAACTGTTCATAGAACCCTAAGGGAAAACGTAATTTTGTTATAAATAATCCTTGGCACAAATCATGGAAATGCTATACTAAAATTGTTTGTTGAATCATTTATGAATGAGGGCTTCATTTTAGATTTGCAAATAAGGTGTAATGTTTTTTTTTAAAGTTTGGAACCCAATCCTTGGGAAACTGAACAGACATGCAAACAGACACCAGGATTGCTTTAAGTTTCTTTTCAAATAGGAGACCCAGGGGATGCTAGATTTGTATTTGTATTTGTGGAAAGCAGAAGATGACACCAGATGTAAAATTATTTTCTTAAAATGTCACCATCTCAGGTTTGTTCTGGCTTTATGATTTACCAAATGGAAACTGGAAGCTGTACTCTAAAGCAACCAAAGAATAAGATGAGGTTTTATAATGGTAAAGTTTAGCAGGGCCCCCTATGGGCATTCTCTAAGAGGGTACAGCTAGACTGCGGAACGCGTTTGCTCTTCTGCTTCTTTTTGCAGAAGAACAAACATGCTCTTTCAGGGAGCCTGTATACCTTGTTCTATGAGGAATAAGGGCTCCTCTGAAAGAGGAGGCTTTTCTGCCATTTGGCCCCGTCTACACAGGGCCAAATGGTGGAAAAGCCTCTTCCAGAAAAGCAGTCGGAAAAAGCTACACAAATTGCAGCGCACAATTTGTGTAGCATTTTCCGAAAAAAGGCTATAGTGTAGACCTAGCCTAAAACTGCTATGGGCTCCATTCAACTTTTTTCTCAAGCAGTAAGTGAATGCAAAGTAATTTCAATGTACCCATGATAAAATTAAAACTCTGCAAGAGGGAAAAGGGGGTAAGTGAATGCATATTCAATGTACCCATGATATAATTAAAACTCTGCAAGAGGGAAAAGGGGATAGAGAGGAACTACTTGAAAAGGAAAAATTCTATTTTTTTTCAAAATTAAAAATTAGAGGGTTTATTGTTATACATTAAGGGGAAAAATTCAACTGGATGTAACCCTTCTGCAAAACTGTCCATTCCGTTTGCCATGCGTTTGTTTCAGAAGAGGAAATTCTGTTCTCTCATGGAGAATACAAGGAACACAGGATGCAAAAGTCACACACAAGTTTTTTTTTTTGCAGCAGCAGCCATGTTTTGTCAATCACTATTCAGCATCTGAATGCCAGATAGTTATAGTGTTTCATAGCTTCTTGGGTGTCGGTTATCTCCCCTTCCAAGGCGCAAATTACTGCCAAGGCTATGCTGTGCTACTTGGCACTGTTCCTTGAAAGTGCTAGTGTCCCACTGCAATGTCAGCACCTTGAGGATAGCACACTTTGCACACACTTTGTACACTTTTGGCTATAGTAGAAATGGACTTTGCTGAGTGAAGGAGGTGGGGTAAGCTGGCTAAAAGGCTGCGGGGATGTCTCACAATTTAATTTTTTGTGGCAGAGTGACTGACTCCTGCTCAAGCTGTTTCCCTTCCAAAGTATAAGATGAAGTAAAACTCAATGGAGCTTTAAGTAACTATGCTGGTTTGTTTCCTCTCTTATTGAGAACTTAATGCACAAATGTGACAAAGGCTGCCATGTAAACAGATTACTTCCTGCTTGATTTACATTATAGAGTCCAGTCTTACTGCAGGCCTGAATTCTGACCCTCTGGTGAGGGCTTTAGATTCAAACAATCAGTTTGGGGTAATGGCAACATCCCTGTAACTCTTTTTTAACTGAAGTGACTGGCACATACTCTCAACCAGAACTTCATCTTAACAAAGTTTTTCCTTTGTAATCAGGCACAGTTGAACCTCTTTCTAGTCTGGCACCCTCAGGATCTGACTAGTTCTGAACCAAAGAATTTTCCAGACATGAGAGGTCAATATTGTCAATATTACCAAAACTTCCACTGCTTACTGGGCTCTTAGAAAATATTTAGGAACAAATTAGAGCTAAATAACAGCACCAGACACCGAGAGCCAGGACTCGTGGCTGCAAACAAACTTTATGGGACCATGGGAAACTTGTTCACACCCATGAAAAGTGGACATCGGCCCACTAACATAATTCCAGACCACAGATGTTTCTGGACCAGAGCGTTCTGGACTAGAGAACCTGTACTTGTTTCACTTAAGGTATACTGGATGAGCAGCTCTGGAATACCGTGCTTAGAGACAACACGAAGAACAGCATCAACAAACTATACAGACATTACAAAGTCAACATTTTCTCAACTATAGCTCCTACTTAAGAACGGCCATACTGGGTCAGACCAATGGTTCATCTAGCCCAGTATCCTGCCAATACCAGATACCCCAGAGGGAGGGAACACAACAGGTAATCCTCACATGATCCCTTCCGTCACCCATCTTAGAGAAAAATGCTTGTAAATCAAGGGCCAGATTTTCAGATGTTCAGCACCCAACAGCACCTACTGAGAACACAGGGAGAGCTCTTGACATTTATCATGTATTTAGGAGCCTGAAACTAAAATGAGAGAGGCCAAAGTGATGTGCATAGACAGCACCCAGGTAGGGACCACAGCACCCTCCCCATGTTAAATGATCTCAGAGGCTTTAAGATGGATTCTCTCCTCCTTTTAACAAGAAATGTTGGTGAAATCACAATTTTTATTTAGCACATAAAAGAGCAACAGATAGGATCACCTGCTAATTTCTAAATATAGCTCAGTAGTTTACTTTTGTCTGAGAGATTGCTTGAGCTCATCACAAAACATATGCAGATGGTAACGTCTGATAACTCAATCTACAAAGGCACTTGTGCAATAACCACTATTCAATAGCTGAAAGATGAATTCATTATCCTGACAAACTCCTCATGGGACTATTACAAACTTTCAGAGTTATCAAAACACAAAGAGTGGCATCGCTTTCTTAGTCTTTTATCTACATGTTGAAATATTTGCTTATCTAAACAGACCAAGGGAGAAGACACATAAAAGAAACAATAAGTTCATTTCTCATTCCAGGGAACAGGTGTGGGCAGCCTTACCTGATCTGTCCTCGCACCAGAGGTCTGTTTTTTGTCCTGTTCATATTCGAGTCAAAGGGAACCTCAAAGAACTGTATAAAAGAAAAGAAAAGATTGAAAGGATGCCGGAGACCATACCAAGCCCAGAATGTACTGTCTATTTTTGCAGGTGCTTTAGTTTAAATTTTTGAAGGTTCAGAAAAACAATTAAAATGACAAATTTCCTTTTACATTAGCTTTGATAGTCAACATTAATATTTTTGGCTTCCCCTTAAAAAACTACCTGGAGGACAGAAATATTTTGAATGAGTCCATAAAAGTTAATCATTTGAAGCAAAACCCAACTTCAAGTTCTGCTCTTGATAAGTTACGTACCCATACACACATGTATATCAAAGTAACAGCCCCCTCCTCTGCGCCTAATTCTAAATTATGCAAGCAGTCTTTGCTAATCTGGTGTTTCTGGTTTTAAAGATGAATGCTATAAATGTTTTTGAGATCACCCAATTTCTAAGAAGCCATGACCCACTCAAAAAAAAATCCATCAACTCTGGTAAATGATACTGCAACTACATGTAGCATCTAACGGTATGATAAATGGTAAATGAAGAAGCCATATGGAATTATTTAGTTTGACAACCCAGCTTGACTTCAAACATTGTCTATGTAAACAGTAAAGAGTACTATATTTATTAAGTTAAAATTAAAGCTAAATTTAGTTTTCCATATAGCAAGACTCTATGAGGCTATTTAGATTTCAATGAAAAAGATATTAAACAACCAGGGTAGTATCTGCATGCTTCACCAAAACTTACTGGACACTGTACTCAATCTGTGGAAAGAACTCTCAGAGGAAGATACAAGTTATATAGGAATATATATGATGTAATTAAATGACCAATTCTGGATAAAGCCCACATCATTGATACTATTGTCTGCAGATCTTCAGGTAGGATGACAAGATGTTCGACTTTTGATGGGCTGGACCGTGTTATTTTTCAGTGAGACGGTGTTCCTATTTGTTCATTTTACCCAAAAGGTGAATAAACCATCTATTTTTGACAATGCCGCATCACTGGTTTTGCACATTTGCCAAAGGCAAGCTGCTATCCCCATTACAAAGTCAAGAAACTCATGTGTCATCTGTGCAGAAGGCTAGTCTATGAGAAAAATGGTTTGGGCATCACAACACTCAAGCCATTTTGAAAATTTATATTATCGCAGTTGCAAAAATATTGATTGTAATTAATAAAATCACATACACAGTGCTGTTAATTTACAAAGCATAATTATTTTTATCACATTAGCACCCCACAATGACAGCTAGAAGTGGTAAAAGACTGTCTTCACTAGAAATGCTGCACCTGAGTCTGCTGTAGCACTTCACTGCAGAGACTCTTTACAACAAAGGAAGGGGTTCTCTGTTATAGTTAATCTACATCCCGGAGAGACAGTAGCTAAATTGATGGAAGAATTTGTCCATTGTTCTAGAGCTTTGTACCCAGGAAGTTAGGTTGACTTAACTATATCGCTCAGGAATTGGATTTTTCCCACCCTGAGTAAGGATGTTAAATATCGACTAATTGACTAATCGAATAGTCGATGAATTTTGCATCTCTATGCTGAAAATATAAGGTCTGGAATGAAATGAAGCACAAGCGGGTGGGCAATAAAACAGCAGCAGTTCACCAGGATTAGCCCCTGGTGGGCTGCTGCTGCTTTATTTACTTGCACCTCTGCAGGTACAGGCTATCACAGCGCCCATTGGCCAGGAACAGCAATCCATGGCCAACAGGAGCTGCGATCCCCTTATGTGCGGAGACAGATAAATACAGTGGTGTGGGGGCCCCTAGGGGCTAAACCCTGGAAGACTGGATTCAGCCTACGAGCCAGTATTTGCTCACCTCTGCTCTAAATGAATCTTTTCCTTTACATTTAAAAAATCCTGCAGCCACAGGGTATGTCTACACTGCACGCTATTTCAAAATAAACTATTCTGGAATAGTTATTCCGAAATAGCTTATTTTGAAATAGCACGTCTACACTACAGGGAAGCCTCAAAATTAGTCCAAGGCAGGCTCCCCTAATGTAGATGTGCTCGATTTAGAGCTCCAGGAGGCACTGGGAAGGAATAACTTAGAATGGCCCTGGGGAGGGGCTATTTTGAAATAGCAGCAGTGGAGCATCTACATACACCTTATTTCAAAATAGCTATTTTGGAATAGGCGTTATTCCTCGTAGAATGAGATTTACAGATTTTGGAGTAAGCTGTCTGTTATTTCGAAACTATTTCAAAATAACGGAATGTCTGTGTAGATGCTCACATTGTTATTTCAAAATAATGCTAGTTATCTCGAAATAACAGTGCAGTGTAGACTCACCCATAGCATATTAGCATCGTAGGCAGAGCTGGTAAAGTCACCTATAGTTTATGTTGCTTACCGCTTTCCGGTATAAGAAATGTTTTAAGTCGCTGTTTTAAATTGCTCACAAACTTGACAAATTTAAACATTCAGACTGATTTATTTTTTAAAATTGCAACCATTTCCAAGAATGAGGAAAAACAAGTTTTGGGGATTTCTTTTGACCGTGTTAAAATGTGCTACAACCGCTCAGCTGAGAAGCTCTAGGGCCACTGTACTTTGAGCAAGGATTTGAAATCTGGCAGAGGAGTTGCTCTTGTGTTAGCGATGTGTGTTTTGCCATGGCCATGAAAATGTACCCTAGTTTGACCAAGTTACAAGCTTCTAAAAATTGCACATGCCCAGAAGAGGTTTACCTGCCATTGCTCTGCCGGGGGCAGCTCTGGCACCAGACATCAGAAGTGAGAGCAGGAATAGCTTCCCACATGTGGTCTATGTTCATCCTGCTGTTATGACAGGCAGAAATAGGAGTCAAACTGACTTGAATGTTGATGGTTTAGAAATAGGGTTGGGAGAGCAGGAAATGGGAAGGAAGAATGAGAAATGGCAGGGGAAGGAGATACGGACAAGAGCCAAGAGGAAGTAAGGATAGTAATAGAGGTGGATAGGGACAAGGGAGTCTATAACCATTCTACCCCTCAAAATCTAGAATGGGAACCAAGATACTTGAGTCTCAACATTCCTCTTTTCTGTCAGCAAATGGCCATGAAACCCACTGAGTCCCTCATCTCCCTCTAATGACTAGTCCACACAGATGTTAACAGCCTACTATGATTACTCTTAACTCCAAAGGATAGATCTGACCCATCTGAGAGTGAACCTGCTTCCACAGGTTGGATTTCTGGTTTTGTCAGTTTGCTTTTTTAAAATGTAATAAATGGCATTCAAAAACACCACAACTGCAGAAAGAATACTGAAATTGCCAAGTCAAACACAAATGCTATGAAGATTGCCTGTAGAACCTGGGGCCCTGGGAATATGCATTATGACGATGCCTTTAATTACATGATCATATCCCATTTTTTCACAGGACTCTTTACCTCCCTCAGTGCAGAGGCTGGGCCCTGGGAATGAATCAGAGCTGTGTAGTTAATAGGTGTTGGCTGTAGTACCTCTGATGTATTGATGGCAGAAGCTGGAAGTTATGAAAACAATGACACAAGAGACTTCAGGAAGAACAATGATGATCTTGTTAATTGAATGCCATTCTGGAAAACTAGATTCTATCTCTGCTTTTGCTACATAGTTCTTTATGCAACACTGGGAGAGTCACTTAAACCAAACAGATGGCCATTAATTGAATGTCTCATTTTCTGGGACCCTGAGGTCTGATTTGCAGAACTGCTGACTGTTCACAAATAGAACTATAGTCAATGGGAGTGGTGTTTTTAACACATAAAGTGCTATTAAAATATTGATGATGAACTGATGTATAATTTAACTGATGTGCTAGGTGCTGTACAAACAGGAAACAGGCTATAAGATTCCACATATTTTAGACAGTTTATTTAAAATTACAGATTGTGCTTTGAGTGCTAAAGTTTTATCCTCCATCCCCCCACCCCACACACAAACAAGTCAGCAAAGAATTACAAATGTCAGCAAAGAAAAAAAAAGCACCTCAGTTTGTATTTGAAAGTAACGATTGCTTCTGACAGCTCAGCATTTTGGTAATGGTTTGTTTCACAGTTACATTTCAGACACAATTACATTTAATGAAGGAAAAATATAATTTGACATCAGAGCGGTAAAGCAGGAAGGCAAATTACATAATCTAAAAAGTCTTTCTTGAAAATAACTTTGACTGTGTTCAAACAGGCTTCTTCCAGAAACTTCAACAAAACTTTTAAGGGCCTAATTCTGCTTTAATTTGTAGTTGTAACTCTGACTTCAGAGCATTTTCTCCTATTTACACTGATATATGGATTAAGAGAATCTGGCCTGTAAATATTTAAAAATTGGCCAAATATACCCACTCTGTGATGGATGGAATAAAAGTGGAAGTGAGGTTTTAACAGCACGGTGTCTGGAAAAACATAAAATGATCATAAAATGAAGGACAGTTAAACAGTTGACATTTACCCTTAAAAGAAATGAAACACATTACACCTACTGTAATTATTATATGAAATATTCCCATACCTTTAATACAGCAGTTAGCCCCTTGACTATAATATATATTTCAAACAGAGAATTTCCTTGCTCAGTTAAATAACCAGTTAAGAACAGACTATTGTAATGCAGACGTGCAAACTGACAGAATTATGCTGCTGTGGGACTCTTCGCTCAAGACTACCTCACTTTTTTCTTATTTAAATTGCAATATGAATATTCTATTAATGCCATTTTTGTGTGTGGATTACATATTTGATTGAAATAAACTATATTTATTAGAAAAACTCTTTTATACAGATCACAGCACATTGTTACTGAGCTAGCTGGAATTACATGTTAGCAAGTTGCCATTTATCAAACTTTCCACATTATGTTCCCAGATGTTCAGCAAAATTCTCTTTCCACTTGTGATTACTTCCCCCGATATTCAAGAAAATGAAAAAAAAAAAGTATCCAAAAAATTGTTCTTCAGGAATAAAGAGTGAACTCAAACAGATTCTCACATTATAGGCTTACATAGTTTTGCCTGTTTTAGCAAACAGTAAATTCAGTAA